ATTTTCACTTACAAACTGGACTTTCATTTCTTTTATTCATCTCATCGTTCACCCATCGACCTACATCGCCTACACCATCGTTCAACTATATGGTTTCCAACATGGCAAAAATCGGAACCAGCGATCCGGTATTGACGGTGGCGCCCCACTGTCAATGTCATGCATAGGACAGTTCAGTATTTTGGAACTATAGTAACATTTTCGCCTACAGAATATGAAATATGTCATGATTCATATTATGTGACATCAGTGAAACGGCACTATACATGTACTGGATTTGAGGCGTGTCACAATGACATTAGTAACGCTGGCGCACTATTGTTATATTATACAAGCAGCTGCCGCCGTCGTACGCGTGGATTTTTCGTAAGCCGTTTTACCCCCTTAGGGGTGGATTTTCGTGAAATCCTTTCTTAGCGGATGGCTACGTCATAACATCTACCTGCATGCGAAATTTCAGCTTGATCCGTCCAGTGGTTTGGGCTATGCGTTGATAGATCACTATGTCAGTCAGTCAGTTACCTTTGAGTTATATTGTTATAGTACGAGAGCCCGCGACCAAAATTTTTGTCTCATAGCAATACGGCCAAAACCGCATCAAATCGATAGATACGATTATCCTGAACTCGAAAATACCAATATCAGACATTTTCCGCGTAGCGTTTGATCTGACCGAATTTTCAAAATTGTCAAAGAATTTTACCGAACTGCATCATAGCAATATGTCTGATTTGCAGACTGTAGTTGACTGTANACAGACGGACAGACGGACAGACGGACAGACGGACAGACGGACAGACGGACATGACGAAACTATAAGGGTTCCGTTTTTGCCATTTTGGCTACGGAACCCTAAAAACTTATATTAGCTACATTTTTTTCAGACGTCCTAGGCACTGGCTTGGACCAAGACTACACGAGCGGCGAAATGGTGATGTTCCGCTGCCACAACGGACTGTCGGTTACTGTGCGCACCAGCGGCACCGAACCAAAGCTTAAATACTACTCCGAGCTCGTCTGCGATGCTGACACTGACAGGTAAGGGGTCACGTAGGGGTGTGGCGTATCACCAAAGAATATATTTACTCTGACGAGAAGAACGGCGACTCCATAGAAAAAAAAATGGATTTTTCTTTTACACTTAACGCCATCTAGTGGGCGACTTTGGCACTAAGTCGGTATTTAATCTGTGCATAAGGCTACGTATTTTAAGCTAGATATTATGATATTATCATGACATAAAATCAATGACATAATTATTATTATGTCATTGATTTTATGTTCTACCATTATTTTTAATCAATGCATAAACTTTTCAGAGGTAACTAAGCCCGTCAATATGATCTAGAAAATGATACTCAAACAATTAGAAACACATTATTCTCTTTATTAAGTTAAGTCTCCAAACTTAATGCTAGAGCACTACTGAGTCTGTATCTCACAATCACACTAGACAATATCTCCAACAGGATGATAAAACGTTATTATCACAATAGATAAAGATTATCACGAAAATCTTTGACCGAGCCGTTTTTTTATTTTGAAAGTTGTGACTTTGGTTGTGACAAATTATTCACCGACAAACTGACAAATGACATAAGTGTTGTCCTTTGAGAAAAGTCATTATTAGTTGTTTTTTGGATCGGGGAACACATTGAACAGCCCACCTAATAAAATCCACGGTCACGGTAATAATATCATACAGTATTGTGNCGATCAGGCTGAAGGTGGAAGCGAGCTTCACCCGGAATCCTCAACCACGAACTGGCTATCTACCTCTAATTGCCGGAACACAATAATGCTGTTAACATTAGTTGTTATGGCGACAGACTTAGGTAAGATGGTGGTAGCAACCAGGCGGACTTAAAACAAGCCCTACCACCAACCAAACCGAACAGAAAAATCTGCCCCCACTGGGAATCGAACCCGGGACCTCTGCGTCTGAAGCAGGTGGTCTTACCACTAAACCACAGAGGCGTTTTTACCACGGCCTGTATTCTAGCCCAGCTGTTTTCCAAGATAAATTATTTGTATTGTTGCAGGCAACACCACACTCCTCTTGGCGCAGCAAGGCAAGTTGCCGCTGTTTGCGTTCGAGGAGGCCATCGGCTACATGTGCAACCATCGTGTGCCCGATAAGGACGGCGTATCGGCCGCTGTACAGGTGAGGTTTAGTTTATAGATAACTAGCTGACCCGGCGAACTTTGTTCCGCCTTAATGGCAATAAATAAGCAGACTTTTTTTTTATTTCGAACGGGATAAAAAGTATCCTATGTCCTTTTCCTGGCTCTAAACTACCTCCCTGACAATTTTCAGCTAAATTGGTTCAGCCGTTCTTAAGTTATAAGTGGAGTAACTAACACGACTTTCTTTTATATATATAGATATAGTCATAGCCTTTTTTGTTTGAAATAACCGAGGCACTCTTAGGCTGGGTTGCACCATCTTACTTTAACTTTGACAAACGTCAAAAATCTGTCAAAATCCATACAAAAACACCGGTTATCGTCAAAGTTACGGTCAAAGTTGGGTGGTGCAACCCAGCCTTATTGTTTCATTTAAGTCCACATTTTTATTTTAACCTACCTAGCCACCTCCATTCCCTTTTTACTTCAAACAGCAGAGCTTCCCTTTTTCTCTTTGTATTACAAATATTCCAGTCATCCCCTTCCCCGTTTTAATTAAAACAACTGAACCACCCCCTTCTGGCGTTTTTTCACAATAATCTTGGCAAACGGGCATTAATCACACAGTTTTAGTAAATGTTTAAGTGTTGCCATTTATCAAAATACTATAGCCGAGCTTCCCCTTTTCTCTTTGTATTACAAACATTCAAGCCATCCCCTTCCCCGTTTTAATTAAAACAACTGAACCCCTTCTGGCGTTTTTTCACAATAATCTTGGCAAACGATTTTAGTAAATGTTTAAGTGTTGCCATTTATCAAAATACTATAACTTTCCGCAGGTGGCGTCGCTAGCGTCGCACCTATACTCCAGCGGTTCGTCTCTACTGAAACAACTGAACACCCTGTATTCCCAGTACGGGTACCACGTGACGCACAACGCGTATTTTATCTGCCACGAATCTAGCGTCATGCAGAACATATTCCGCAGAATCAGGAACTACCATGGGCATGGGCAGGTATGGTTGACTATTGTATGACTAGACTAAAAATAAAGACGAAATGTCGGTGTATGCAAGCAAAATTCGCGTCGTTTAAAAGATTTAAATTATATTTGACAATACTACTATAACAGTTGACGAAGAACGCTAAAGGACGAAGCACACTTATCAACCCGGAAACGGGTCGGAACCGTATCAACTTGAGGCGGTCAGTATTCTTTGTATGAAACTGTTGCAACGCACACTTGGTCTTATTTGCACTGTAACGTAAACACCTTGTGAGACAATACGGCGTTGATCGCTTTCTGGGTTGATAAGTTTGCTATGACCTTAAAGCGGTCTGTGTATACCATCCTTAAGGGCTATCACGTCTCTAGCAACTGGAATGCGTCATAGACAGCATCTATCAGAAGTTATTTTCTAGTGATATGCCATAAATGTTTTTGTTATTATCTTGCAGTACCCAAAGAAAGTTGGCTCGTGTGAAATCACCTACATCAGGGATTTCACGGCTGGCGTCAAGATCCCTGAAACTGTCGTGGGCGAACAACACTTGAGTAAGTACTAGCACCACAGCTCCTCCATCTTTTTTATCGATAATCTTATGGAATTTAAAATTATTCGCAGCGTTCTGTGGTCGTATGTGGCATAAAAATGCCACTTGTCCCAAAAATAACTTACCTTTGTCACGTCGTCGTGGCGCATTCGTTGGGCAGACTTTTGAACTGGTATAGATGAACTACACTGAACTGTCCTACCAAACTCATTGACAGGGAGGCGCCACCATCGTTCAACTAGATAGTTTCCAACATGGCAAAAATCGGAACCAGCGATCCGGATTTGACGGTGGAGTCCCCCTGTCAATATCACTGGTTCATTTTAGTTGAAACCGGCCAAGTGCGAGGACTGACCGTCTTAAACGATCAAATTTGTCAAAAACTAGTCATTAACTGTCAGAAATTGACATTTTCAGTCAGTTTGGTTTGAAATGAAAATTATATTGTATAAAACCAGCTTTGGCCCACGACTTCGCCAGCCTGAAATTAAAGTAACAGGTCATTAAGTACTCATTATAATTAGTAGATTCAAAATTATTTTAGCATATTTTTTTTAATTAAATCTACTAATCACAAAACAACACGCATTTTTATCCTATTCCATTCACAAAGTATTTTGTTTGTCTAATAAAAAAAAAATTACAATCACAAAACTAGATAGAAATTCTAAGTAGACAGATGTAATTTGAATGGGTACTATAGGTGAGCAGCCCTATCGCATGTTGTCATACCGTGACGTACCGCGGGGCTGTTGACATTTATTTCAAAAATATGGCTGAGTTGGAATACTGTATAGATAGTATTACCGTGCCACGGTGCTGCCTACAAAGTCGACCAGGCCTGCGTATCACAGTGTTATCAGTGACACTCCCTGCATTGCACACTACAGACACTACGGGGCGAATCGTATGACAGTGACAACAGTCACATGATGAGCTGTGTCATAATAGTCCAACGATTTTAAAACATCAAGTGGCAAAAATCTAAAACTAAACCCAATATTGATATCAGCGCCCTCAAGTAATGTCATATTATATGGTTGTCCAACGTGGCAAAAATCTGAACCAGCGATCAGATATTGACGGTGGCGCCCCCTATCAATGTCATGGGTGAGACAATTGAGTGTAGGACTTCTTTTAACATTTTTGCATAAGCAGTAAAGATAAAATGTATCATGACTCATATCAGTGACACGCTCACTATAATGGCGTCACACAGTGTCACAGTGACACTGACACACTATTGTGCCATTAACAAATTATGTTATATTGTCTACATAAAAGGCACCAAATATTTTCCAATGTCCAATGAAAATAACTATCACTGTTTCCCATTGCAGTGAACGGGAGCAAGTGAAGCTCAAACTTCAGCACATCGTTCAAGAATTCGTGGAGGAGCTTCTTCAGCCTAAGGAGAATGGGCTCATAGCGTAAACGCACCGGTAAATTTTACGTTGCATTTGCAATATTCCTTCGCTTTGTTATAAAGTGCTTAAGTGCATCCATTACTTAATAAATATTAGGTAAATTAGCGGACCACTCCGGCTTTGTGCTTTGAAATTATTCCATAAACTTTTTTCGTGAGGTTTAGCTTAATTCCCTGAAAAAGGATTAATATGTACTTTTTATGTCAGACCGCGTTTATGTTTGACCTCAATCACACTCAAATCAAAACCAAAAATATTTTATTCACTTGATGGTAAGTGATGTTAAGGTTACTTACTCATAAAGTATTTAATTTGAACTAATTCAAACCCTATTGAGATTACCAGATTACGATAATGCATACAAACGTGGCGAGAGACATTTATTATTACCTACTTACATTAATAAAATTCATAATAGTGGTTGTTCTTGTACAGTCACGGAATGAAAAGGTTCGTCAGTTTTCAAATTTATTCCTTCAACGAATCGCGAGCACATATTACCTTTTGAAACTATGTTAAAGAATAATCTCGAGTTAGAGAAAATAATCTTTAACTGTTCGTCAGTAAAGTTATATCAGTTAATTTATACAATTGTATTGGTGTAATTAACTGTTGGTGAACCAAATAAATAAAATAAAAATAAAGTTCAAAATTATTCAGATCAAAGTTGTTTGACGATTTATCTTGTCAAGAAGATTATTATGATTGATAAACTAAAACCTTCTTGTTGGTTCAAACTGCCATTATTATTTCTTTTAAATAAAAAAAACTATTGTCAATTGGTCAATGTCATCATTGCATTGCACTGATGGGATAGAAAAATAAACAAGCAAAACCTTATTCGTTAGCAAACGTCATATTTATTTAAATGTTAGCAGCACTGTTTCTTGCACTGTTATGTTGGCAGGTTTGACTCTCACAGTACCTATTAGTGCAAGCGAAACCCGACACTAAGGTGACGAACCTTTTCATTCCGCGACTGTACATTTAAATTCATTTTATTGAATTTATTTCAGAGATTAGCACCATATTATTCTACTAATACTTGTATAGATGTTTCTATAATGTATTTATATACCATAGCGTACTTAGAATAAATAGCAAAATTGAATGACAACTTCGAATTGTGATGGATTGTGGTGCCAAAGAGTTTGCAAAGGAACCGATTATTCTGTGATAGAGTAAAAAGTGATTGGAAACGTGATTTTAATAAGTGTAGAATAGAGAGAGACGGGAAAGAATTTCATTACTTAATTAGATTATGTCTAATTAGTTCTAAAAAACTACATTTAGTAATATCAATTCCAAAGTAAACGTTTTTCTTCCTTATTGTGCACGTAGAGACTTTTTTGGCATTTATAAAAGACCAAACTTTGATGTTTATAAATATTCCTTATTTTTAGATTGTGATTATTAAATTTGTATATTACTAACTGTACTTTTATCATATCACTAATGAATGTAAAAAAATAAATGAGTAAATCAAACCCAGTTTTTTTCACTCTCTACATAAGTTTATTAAAATTAAAATAATTTTGATACTTTAACAAAACCCTAATAATAAAGTAAAAGATGACAGAAATATCGTAACGTCATAAACTAGGACAGCCTTAAAACGGTTTTATTTTTAAAGTGACTTCAAAATATAAAAAACCAAACTAGAATTTTTTTAGTACCGCCTAAAATAAAATGTATAAATAATTTAATTTAGTTTTCGGCATTTCCTTCGGCCTCTGCCTCCAAACGCAATCTCTCTTTCTCTTTCATATTAAGCTCAATCAGATTATCTAATTCTGGACTCAAAAGTACTGATAGTCCCGCTGTAGTCGGCACCTTAAAATAATAGAAATAATGTTCAATATCCGGCAATTTTTATTTAAATTGCTAAAATATTTTTAGTTACTTCTAACAATGACAGTGTCTTACGCCCGTATTCACAAACGATGCTTGCTTAAGTGAAGCAGCAAATCGAACGCACAGCGTCGAATAGAGCTCTGTGATTGGTTCGTGTGTCACCCTGTGCGTCCACGCGCACTGTGAGACCTCATAGTAATGTTTGTGAATACGGGCGTTAATAACTACTATTATGGCAACACTGCACTAACCTCGCTAAATATAGGTTTCGCCGCCTCCCACCTTTCGATGTGATTCTCAATAATCTTGACACATGTTCCCGCTTTGGGTATGATTCTTGCTAAAGTGCTGTGAAAAAGATATGTTATTGAAGCAATTTACTTCAATTATGAACATTTTGGATTTAATGAAAGCTATCGAGTTTGCGCTTACCAGTTGGCGCCATTGTAAGGTTCTGTCATTCGCTAATTCAGTATTCGGCTAAGACAGTAACGTAACTGGTGAACGCCGAAGCGGTAAGAGGCCTAATTGCGTTCACTAATGTGGCACCACTGTAGTAATAGTAATGTCTTGTCACTTGATAGTGGCGCCAACTGTTGAGCGCAAATACGATACCCCCACTGATCTCTATACAAACTAGACTACTAGGCTGTCCCATATGCATGAATTACAGCTAATTTTGTGTGCTAATTTAAAGCGCCACTACGACTGTCCCGAGACTAATTTTGACGTACATTGTATGGAGTAACCATAGCAATAAGCGAGAAAGAAAATCACTAATTTTAGTTCCATGGACAATCGTATCTGCCTACAGTATAATGGCCTACAGCGCCAAAATGGCGAAACTCAAATAGGCACAAAAATATTATGACAGCATCCAGGTCAGTGGATACCCCCCATTGGTCTATTAGTTCAGATTATCAGTAAGCGGTTAATGATATTTTCCTATGATGCGGATTTGGTCCGAAACCCGCATCACAGGAAAAATGCACTTACTCAAAAAGCGGGATGCACGTGGTCTGCAGAAACTGTATCTCGAGGTCGGGGATGAAGCACTTCTCTCGGTCCATGATGATGGGCGGCAGATCGCCGCGGCTCTTCTCCACGTCTCCTTGGCGGAAGAATTCCGTCAGCACTGCTGCCTGGGAGGTGTTGAAATCCATTTGTTGTATTTGTATAATTTATATTGAGCCGAAGCAGAATATACCTATGATGTCGTACCGAAATGTGTCGATTGTAACTATAGTTCCAAAATACTGAACTGTCCTATACATGACATTGACAGCGGGGCGCCACCGTCAATACCGGATCGCTGGTTCCGATTTTTGCCATGTTGGAAACCATATAGTTGAACGATGGTAGCGCCCCCCTGTCATTGAGTTTGGCGGGACAGTTCAGCGTGGGTCATCTATAAAGCTTCAACCACACCAACCGCCGGCGCCGGTCGCGCGACTTGTCATTGACCTTTGATCGCGCCGGCGATGGCGATCTGCAGGCGTTTGATGTAGTTGAAGCTTAAGGGAGTAATATGCGAACATCAGACCCCTCCCTCCAACCCATCTGGCCAGCGTTGGAAGTGTAGGCTAAATAAATAATGATCATGAATTTAACACTACTATGCAGAAGGTTTTCATTTAAAAAACCGTATTAAGTGCGCAGTAGCTTCATGCATCCGTTAAGCATGCATCATGCATTAAGGTTCAGCCAAACCAACACGATCACACGCGATCAGCCCGCGTGCAACGATGGC